AGTTTTCCTTTAAAAAAATCTTACCACGTTGTGTACTCGCCCTACTCACTAATTGTGGTTGGCAGGGTCGATACTCAGCTCCGGGCCCCCGCCTCTTCACTGATCGCTACTAGGTCCTGGCTCTCTCTGCTCCCTGAGCTTAGTCATACCTCGTCTGAAAGCTATTTATGGTTCCTACCTCCACTACATCACTTGCTAGGCTATTCCACTTCCTGACGACTCTAAGACTGAAGAAATACTTCCTAACATCCCTGTGACTCGTCTGAGTCTTCAGCTTCCAATTGTGACTCCTTGTTTCTGTGTCCCATCTCTGGAATATCCTGTCTGTCCACCTTATCTATCCCACGCAGTATTTTGTATGTCGTTATCATGTCTCCCCCTGACCCTCCTGTCCTCCAGTGTATGTGTACTCACCTAATTGTGGTTGCAGGGGTCGAGACTCAGCTCCTGGCCCCGCCAGGAGTGTGTGTGTGTGTGTGTAACTCAAGAATTAATATTTGCACCGATAACTTGTGACCGGGTGTGGACGTGTGAATTGTTCATTACATCATAATTTGTTCATGATTGTAACCATATATAAACGTAAGTATATTTACTTGCTTACATGATTCATTACCTTTGTAACTTATGACTTCATTACCTTTGTACCTTGTTCAGCTATCAAAACTTTGGGGCCCTGTCCCTGGACCCTTTATGTACCTCTGTAATCTTTTGACTACCTCCCACAGGATGAGTATGGGGTGACTACCGCCCACAGGATGGGTATGGGGTGACTACCTCCCACAGGATGGGTATGGGGTGACTACCGCCCACAGGATGGGTATGGGGTGACTACCGCCCACAGGATGGGTATGGGTGACTACCGCCCACAGGATGGGTATGGGGTGACTACCGCCCACAGGATGGGTATGGGGTGACTACCTCCCACAGGATGGGTATGGGGTGACTACCTCCCACAGGATGGGTATGGGGTGACTACCTCCCACAGGATGGGTATGGGGTGACTACCTCCCACAGGATGGGTATGGGGTGACTACCTCCCACAGGATGGGTATGGGGTGACTACCTCCCACAGATGGGTATGGTGTGACTACCGCCCACAGGATGGGTATGGGGTGACTACCGCCCACAGGATGGGTATGGAGAGACTACCGCCCACAGGATGGGTATGGGATGACTACCGCCCACAGGTTGGGTATGGGGTGACTATCTCCCACAGGATGGGTATGGGGTGACTACCTTCCCTCAGGATGGGTATGGAGTGACTACCGCCACAGGATGGGTATGGGGTGACTATCTCCCACAGGATGGGTTATGGGGTGACTACCTTCCCTCAGGATGGGTATGGGGTGACTACCTCCCACAGGATGGGTATGGAGTGACTACCGCCCACAGGATGGGTATGGAGTGACTACCTCCCACAGGATGGGTATGGGGTGACTACCGCCCACAGGATGGGTATGGGGGCATAATAAACGTATTAAACTAAACTCACCTTGATGGAGGAGACGATGTCGTGGGCTAAACTTTCGTCCAGGGAGGGAGAAATGGCCACCACAACATTCTCATATCCGTTGTCGACCAGTTTAATGTTGCTGCTGCTGACAGTGTTCACCACCATCATCACCACCACCATCATCATCACCACCATCATCACCACCACACGCATTATCCGTAATATCTAGGAAAATATTATTATTAATTTAGCTACTGTTATGGTTGAATACAATCACAATACAGTAGCTAGATCAATTTATAATTGATTTACAATTTGGAGAGGAATTGTAGACGTTTTCGATCCATCCTGGACTACAATCAAATGGAATATGATAATAGTCTAGAAGGGAACGTCACAGTACTGTGGCCGTTTAGCCACAGTTACTGTGACGACCCAAACCCCCCTCACTACCCAAACCACCACCACCCAAAACCCCATGTCCAATCCACAACCACCCAACCCACCAACACCCCAAAACCCCTCACTACCCAAAACCACCGTACCCAACCCACTACCCAGTCCACCACATGCAAAACTACTACCAAAACCCACGCATCCCAAAATATATCCAACCCACCCATCCATCTACTATCCAACCCCCCACATCCACCCTACTATCCAACCCACCACATCCAACCAAACTACCCAACCCACCAGCTCCGATATACACAACTAATCCTAGCAAGAGCATTTTTTTTACTGCAGTTCTTAAAGACTTCAGACATGCGACGCTGAAGTGTAAACTGACTCAAGACATTTGACTTTGCACAGTCATAAAAAACTTGGTCACCCGTGTCTGGTGGAAAATTTTGATAATTTACCTAAGATTTATTGGTAGATAATTGATATTAGAAAAAGGTTTATATAATAATTCAGGTGTGTAATGCTGATGTGACTTTGAAAGGGGATAATTCACAAGGGAACCGTCATATCTCTATAATTTTCCATATTTCATGTACTAGGTTAATTAAATAAAGTAAATTAATGTAATAGCGAAGTAAATTAATATTTCTGATGAAGAAATATATTACACACCTATAAATATCACCTAACTTTAAATAAAAAGGTGTACAAAATATGAGAGTCGGGGAGTAACAAAGATGGCGGTGCGGAACAACTAACCGGCGATTTGGCGAATGTCTTTCTCGAATAATTTGTTAGTAATATTAATCAAACAGTGAAATAAATACAAGGAAGAGAAATACATCTCTGGAAATTTCCAAATATATAATGAATTTAAAAAAAAATAAGCATTGTGTAAATTTGAATAATATAATTTGTGTATTTAATGTGATGCAGATTTGATCCCTTTTGAGAAATTTACTAGTGAGGGGGAAAGGTATAAAAGAACACCAGGGAGTGACGCTTGCGAGAGGACGCCTTATGTAATTTGCAAGCACTGATTGTCGTGGAAAATTGTGCAAGTAATCCGGTGTCATCAGACGTTCATTTGTGTATATTGGCCTCAATTCATAATTTAGAAATTTCTGACATGTTCCTGCGAAGATCTAGGATAAATAGTGTGGACAACCCTTACAATTCGGCAACAAGAAAGGAAAATAGAGGACAACGATTCTTCTCAGGAAGCACACCTTAGCTAAGTGAATCCCGCTTACCCGTGATGTACAGTAGTTTTCCGTTTGCCAACGTAAAGTCTAGGATGTTGTGAGGGCAAATACCCCTCAGGGCAGGTTCCTTGAGTTAGTGAGGTGGCTCTTGATTTTAGGATAGGATCTGGTGCTCCAGTTCCCCCGATCAAGCCTGAATGCCGTTCCACA